TTCATTTGCTTTCCCGTCTCTTTTTCAGCTCCCCAGAAGATAATTTTAAAACTAAACAACAGCTGAACAATACCCCCCTGTTCTGCTTGTCTGGGTATGCAGGGCACGTCCATGCCTGCCCAGAACTAAAGGAAAACACCACCTCTTCCATTTTATTTCTTTGCATCAAAAGTGATTAAATCTGTGTGCATGACCTTCATATATCAGACCATTTGACTATTTTGAAAATCTGTTTAATAGAGTAAGCCAGGCTACATTCCCTGCATAGAATCCTTACCACTAAGCGCTATGACGAATGCCACAGGGACAATGTGTCATTTGTGGGACAAGAGAGAGACACTGCCATCTTACAGTTGCTCAGTTGTTTACATTATTAGGCTGCAATTCATGTTAGTTACATATTTGCATTGTTGTAACAAGTATTTTCTTATTTTGGTGAAAGATGGCTTTTTGTGGGGAGCCTTCTCTTTCAACAACAGACTAAATAAAAAAAAAATTACAGGATTTAGCACTTTTCATTTATTCCCCTGGTTGGCAGAATTCCAGTTTCTTCATAAAAGGATATCAGCATCGTGGTAAAAGACTGCAGATAATCTCTAGCAATTCATGCACTGTTTTTTGGGTTTGTTTTTTTTTTTGTCTTTTTGAGACAGGGTCTCCCTGTAGCCCCAGCTATCCTGGAACTCACTATGTAGACCAGGCTGGCCTTGAACTCACAGAGATCTCCCTGCCTCTGTCTCCTGAGTGCTGGGATTAAAGGTGTGCGCCACCATGCCTGGCAGGCACTGTTGTATTTTATTTACTAACAGCCATGATAAAACTTCCTGTAAAAAACCTTAAGGAACACTTTGCTTTTTAGTGAGCATCAATTTCAAGCAATCTTTTGAACTTTATGTAGGATTATAAAACCCAATTGCCTATTTACAAGTGAAGGAGAAAAAATTAAAACAAGGAAACCTTTTCATGAGAAAATATTGCAGTGGGCTGGGGATGTAACCTAGTTGGTAGAGTGCTTGACGAGCATGCTTGAAATCTGGGTTCAAACCTCAGCATCACATAAACCAGGCATGGTGGCACGCACCTTGTAGTCCCAGTACTCTGTAGGTGGAGACAGGAGGATCAGAAGTTCAAGGTTATCCTTTGCTACATGGCTAGTCCGAGGTCAGCCTGGGACACTCTACTCAGAGAGAGAGAGGGAGAGAGAGAGAGAGAGAGAGAGAGAGAGAGAGAGAGATAGAGAGAAAGAAAATCCTTATCTATCAGTCAACTGTTCCATATAAGACAGCAGGTAGAAAATGTGTGTGCTGTCCTCCAGAGTTTGTAATCTGATAAAGAGACCTGTGGGCCAGTGGTTATGCTAGCTTCTGAGATACTGTGAAGAGGCTGGTCAGGGAAATGTGGGAGAGCCTTCCCTAAGTGGAAGAGACTAAGAATGTTCTGGAAGCCTTCCTGGAGGCATCACAGAATGCATTGGTTAGAGAAGCAAGAAATAGCAGTTAAAACTTTCACTTTTGTTTTTCAAATATTTGTTATTTATTTTTTATTTATTTTTAATGTTTTATTATTTTTATGTGTATGAGTGTATTGCCTGTATGTATGTGAGTGCACCCATGTCATGCAATGCTGCAGAGGTCAGAAGAGGGCTTCAGGTTCCCCTGGAACTGGAGTTAAGGACGGTTCGTAGCCCCCATGTGTGCTGGGAAAATCGAACGGGTCCTCTGCAAGAGTAGTCAGTGCTCTTAATTGCTGAGCCATCTCTCCAGCCCTATTATTTTTATTTTATGTGTATGAGTATATTGCCTGCATGTGTGTAAGTACACTGTGTCGTTCAGTGCCTGCAGTGGTCAGAAGAGGGTGTTGGATCCTCTGAAACTGGAGTTACAGATGGTGGTTAGCTGCCATGTGGGTGCTGGGAATGGAACCTGGGTCCTCTGCAAGAACAGCCAGTGCTCTTAACCACTGAGCTGTCTCTCCAGCCCCCAAACTTTCTCTTTCATTAGCAATCATAAACCTAGTACAGAATGGCTTGATTTAAAAAGGTACTATAGGGTTGGATATATAACTCAGTTGTAGAATGTGTGCCTAGGAAGCACAAGACCCTGAACCCTGGGTTCCATTCCCAACACTACCAATGAAAAAAAAAATATATGATTGCAGATATCAGAGAGGGCCAAGGAATTTGGGCTTCTATAGCAGGCCCAGGGTCTAGTACACTGGTCAGGAGTCTGCCACTGTGGTCTACCCAACAGTGTTAATAGAACCCCAGGTTTGTCTTTACTCCATAACGCTGCTTTTTCAGGAGTGGTTGAGGTTAACTGATTCTGTCTGCAACAGATCTACTTCCAGATGAGGTCACATTCTGAGGTTCTGGGACACTAGCATATGAATTAGGACACTAGCATATGAATTTCAAGGATGCAGTTCAACAATTCCCACCTTTTCCTCCTACTCCTCCTCTTCCTTATCCTCTTCCTCTTCCTCCTGTCTTTTATCCTCCTCATCTTCCTCCTCCTCCTCCTTCCCTTCTTCCTCTTCTTCTTCCTGTTCTTCCTCCTCCTACTCTGTGATTGCCTGCTGATCTGGCCTGTTGGCTGAACCCAGCTGTAGGGTAAGGGATCCTGATTGATGTGATCTTAAAACCAGCCTCCTTCCCAGAGCAGGGAAGGGCAGGGCTGATCTGGAGGAACAAAGGAAATTTCCAGAGTGCTTAGTATGGGAAGGCCATGTGACAACCAGCACCTCTAGACTGCCTTGATTCTTTAGCCTCTGCTTATAGAAGGGGGAGTTCTGACTTTTCTTGAGGAGATGTGACAAATGTCTGTTTATCCCAGATAGGGCACTGATGGCCATCAGCTGAAGAAAGGATTCTCCCAACACACACCCAGTCTAGCTTGGCAAAAATTCATTCGTTGAGGTTGCTCACAGGAGCATGGATGGCTGCATCATTGAAAAGCCCACCCCATCATGAACAATGACTCATAAGAGCTGCATCCCTGGTACCCCCTGCTCTACTTCTAGGCAGCTCTGCTAGTGAGAGTCTCCCTTCCCCAGCAGTCCTTATTGCTTTCACTTTTGGGAGAGACTTTGTGAGTCTTGTAAGTTTCAGGAGCTTCCTAATACTTGTGAGGTTGTCTTACTTCCTGAGTCTTCCTGAGTCTTTTTTTTTTTTTTTTATGTATATGAGTGTTTTGCCTGCTTGTATGTAAGTGCACTATGTGTGCAGTGCCCACAGAGGCCAGAAGAGGGTGTCAGATCCTCTAGATGTTACGGATGGTTGTGAGCTGCCAGGTGGGTGCTAAGACTCAAACCTGGGTCCTCTGGAAGAATAGCAAATGTTTTAACTGCTGAGCCATCTCACCAGCCCCATGAGGTTTTTTTTTTTTCCTCATCTTTTTGAGACAGGGTCTTCCTGTAGCTCCATCTGGCCTGGAACTTGCTGTGTAGACAAGGCTGGCCTTAAACTCACAGAGATTTTTCCTGCCTCTGCCTCCTGTGTGCTGGGACTAAAGGTGTACACCACCATGCCTGGCTATGAGATTTTCTTTTTTAAAAAAATATTTTATTCATTTTTATTTCATGTGTATGAGTGTATTGCCTGCATGTATGTAAGTGCACCTGTGTCATACAATGCCCATGGAGGTCAGAAGAGAGTGTTGGAGTCCCCTAGAACTGGAGTTATGGGGGGTTGTTACCCACCATGTGGGTGCTGGGAATTGAACCCAGGTCTTCTGCAAGAACAGCCACTATTCTTAACCACTGAGCCATCTCTCCAACCTTGAGTTTTTTGTTCTTTTTTTAAGAATCATTTTTTATGTGTAGGTGTGTGTGTCTCTGTGTGTATGCCATGTGCATGTAGTACCCCATGGAGACCAGAAGAGGGCATCAGATCCCCTGGAGCTGGAATTCCAGGTGGTTATGAGCCACCTGATGTGCTCGGAACTGAACTCTGGGTGAGATGGCTCAGTGGTTAATTGGATGACTCATAATTGGCTGTAACTCCAGCTCCAGAGGATCCGATGTCCTTTTATGTCCTCCATGGGCACCTGTTCACATGTATGCACTTGCACACACATACACATACACACACAAATAAAACTCTCTTGACTGTGATCACTTCTGTCTTAAAAGGTAGAACTATACCACGTATCATTTGTGACCCAGGAGCCTAGGAAATAGCTTTTGGCTGAATTGATAGCCCTGTAGAAGCAGTCAGGTTTTTGCTAATAAAGATGGGCTTGGAGGATGGATTTTAAGTGCCTGGCTAGCCACACCAGTGGCAGTTACATGCCTGGCTTCTACCTTTGGATGCTTTCAATTTTTACCTTTATGCTTTGTTTTCTACATTTAAAGATGGTACCAGACCTGAAGTCCTGCTGTTCTAGGGGTTTGAGTAGACTTAGGAAAGCAATAAACAGGACACAGCCATGAGTCCCATGTTTCAGTCAAGGGACCAACAGCCAAGCACACAGAATGATGATGGTCCCATAAGATCACTTACCTAGTGGGAACTGCTTAGTTTGTGTAAGTACACTGATGTTTAGTCATGACAAAAATCACCTAGCGACATGATTCCCAGAATGCATTCCACTTATCCCCTCCTTAAGTCACATATGACTCATGGAAGAGAACTGTGGTCTAAATAATAAAAGTGTTCCCAGACAGCTCCAGAAATTCTTTCCAGTTAGCTCCTGGCAAATGTGAACCATAAAATCGCCTGTGGGCAAACATCAGGGAAGCATGTAGTAAGCGCCTACTGGGTACACTGTGTTTTGTTTTACCAACTGTCAGAGCATGCTGTATCCAAAGCTGAACAGAGAAATGCCTTCAGATTTCCTGATGTCCTATTCATTCTCTTTCAAGTCCTATTCGTTGCTGTACTTAGAAACTTCATAATGAACCCGTTTATTTCATCTATGTCTAACCAATTCTTCTCTCTCCCTTTATGCTCCTCAGACACGTGGTTAAAGCGAGACTATAATTTAATTCTCTTCTCTCTTTAGAGGAAAAGAACCAAATTCATTGCCTGTGATTTTTTGACTGAGTGGTTGTACAAGTAAGTTGTTGAATATTCAGTGACCTTGAGGATTAGATTGTGTTAATTTTCGATAGAAGAGCAACAACTAACTTGAATTCTCACATTTTGTTTTCTTGTCAATCAAACGTGGTGATGTGACCAGCCAGAATCCAAAGAGGATAGGGGAGCCCTTCACAGAATTCTTCTCTATTCCGTTTGTGGAGGAATGGCTAAAGCACCAGTAAGTTTGAATAATTTATTTCTCATCTCTTTTCTCCTTATGTGTATATGGGTTTAATGTGCATGCATATGTATGCATGTGAAAACCTAGGCCTGATGGTGAGACTCTTACTGGATCACTCTCCATCTTGTTCATTGAGACAGGGTCTCTCAATTGAACCCAGAACTGCTGATGTGACTTCTCTGGCTAGCCATCTTGCTCTGAGGATCTCGTCTCTGCCTTCTGAGCAACAGAATTACAGATAGCTTCCGTGTCCACCCAGCATTTATATGGGTTGTGAGGATCCCAACTCTGGTCCTCATGTTTGCCTGCCTTTAACCAGTGATGACTTTTTTTACTTTAAGGGCATTAACTCCGTGCTCCATCTAGGATCCCAGCTCAGTGATTGGGACTTTTTGTTACTGGTTTTTGTAGCACAGGCTAGGCTCATCCTACCCATGCTAGGCTCATCCTACCCATTCCAGTAACAGTTCAGAAATAACTTAGGAAACAAGTTCTTATCCTAAATAATTTGTCTTTCTAGTCTGTTTCTCTTTGTCTCTCTCTGATAGTGAGGGCTGAACTGAATGTGCTTGAATATGTGAGATAATAGACACTTTACCAACTGAACTGCAATCCCCAGCCTCTGCTGTTTGTGACAAGGAAGTCTCACTGTGTTGCCCAGGCAGTCTCTGTCAAGCTCAAGTGGCTCTCTGCCCTTAGCCTCTCTTCTCTCTCTGAGGGTCTTTGTGTCTCAAGAACGGTGACCACATTTTTCTATTAATTTTTAGTAATATTCATCAGTCCTCCATTTTCAATATTACTACATAACAGAGTTAAAAAAACTCTCTTTGACCATTCAAATCTAGATCTCCCCTCAGGGTGGTAAGCTCTCCTTCCACTAGGATCCCAAGGATCAAACTCAGGTCATCACGCTTGGCGGGAGGCACTTTTACCCACTAAGCCATCTTGGCAGCCCTCAAGTCATATATTTTTAATAATTTTTAAATTATTTATATGTATCTATGTATGTGGGGGTACATATTTGTATGGGTGCCTGTGGAGGCCAGAGGTCAGTGTCAGGTTGCTTCCTTCATTGTTTTCACCTTATTTTTTAAAAGAGAAAATGGTCTCTCACCAAACCTGGAGCTCCCCAGCTGGCTAGACTCGCTAGCCAAAAAGTTCTGGGGATTTACCTGTGTCTGCCTCTCCAGTGCTAGGATTACAGGTGTGCACCAATCATGCCTGGCTCTTAGGTGGGTGCTAGAAACACAAAGTCAGTGTCTTCATGCTTGCATGGTCAACACTTTACCACCTGCCATCTCCACCCCACAAGTCACATTTTAAACAAATTCAGAGACCTTAGATTAGACTTTTAGACCTCAGTGTCATATCTTTTGTGTAAATCTACTCTTAAAGAATATTTAGTTCAGTCAGGCATGGTGGTGCATGCCTTTAATCATATTATGGAAAAATCACAGATCACCAGCCAAAGTCAGGTGAGGAGAGGGAGTTTAATAATTTTATGCTAGTGGACTGAGCCGCAGATCCTTCCATAAGGGAGTCAGTGACCCCTTCCAGTTTTGAGAGGTTTTTATGTTCATATGTGAGGAATGCAAGCAAAAGGCAAAACAGCACATAGGTGACAAGTAAAAACGTACATGTGATAATTAAGCAAGGTAGCATATGGCCTGGGGGGGGCACACGACACGTAGGATGGGACTTCTGCTCACCTCCCTCATACCTATCTCTTATCTCAGAGATTTCCCTGCTGAGTTCTTAATTACCACCACATTGCAAAATTTTTCTATTTCCATAATAATCCCAGAACTTGGGAGGCAGAGGCAGGCGGATCTCTGAGTTCAAGTCCAGCTTGGTTTACATAGGGAGTTCCAGGCCAGCTGGAGCTACAGGGAGACCCTGTCTCAAAAAGATGGAAAAAGGGCTGGAGAGAGGTTCAGCAGTTAAGAGCACTGACTGCTCTTGCAGAGGACCTGGATTTGAGTCCCAGCAGCCACATGGTGGCTAACAACCATCCATAGCTCCAGTTGCAAGGGATTCAACACCCTCTTCCTACCTCCACAGGCACTGCATGACATAGGTGCACTTACACACATGCAGGTAATACACTCATACACTAAAATAGAAGTAATAATTTTTTAAAAAAAGAATGATAGAATGCATGAAATCCAGTGGTGAGGGGTGGGCTATGGGAGGGGGCCAGTGGGGAAGGGGGAATAAAGATGATTAAGGTGTTCTGTATGAAATACACATAAATTCAATAAAAAATTATTTTTGAGAGTTCACGGTGACAGGAGTACAGTCTTGGGAAAACCATTTTTCTTTATTTAGCTTTTAAACCTGTGGGGAGCCTGGAGGCTAGGACTGTTGTTCAGAGGTAGAATACTCATCTAATATGCTCAAGGCTCTGTGTTCCATCTCTAGCAACACACACACACACACACACACATGTGCACTCGCCTCTCTGCTTAAGTGTGCCCACTATGAACTGTGAAACAGAGGGCCTGTAGTTCATTGAGAAGACCATATATTTTTTCCTAAGATGAGGTTTCCATTCCCCAAGTTGCTGTTTTGCTCTGAAAATGAAGCATTTTCCCACTTGTGCTAACCAATTAATGAATGAAAAGGAATCTTAAGAGGGCTTCTCTACATGAGAACCTCTCAAATCTCAGTCACTTATTGCTCATGAGAATCCCCCCCACAGCTCACAGAAACACTCTCAGAAGCTAGAGCAGTGACCACTCTAGCAGACCGCAGAGTGACACAGAACCCTGGCTCTCCCTGGTTTTGTAGTCTGTGCGTCCCTTACCTTTCAAAGAGCCTAGGAGCGTGATAAAGATGAAAATACTAATTACTAATCTAGTTCACTTGATGCAATAAATACCTATGGAATATCTACCCACTGTAACACATAGAGCTTAGTGTTGAGTGAAAACCAGAAATGAATAAATTATGGCTCCAGCCCTAGAGGTGAGAGACGTGTTTACAAGGAGCTGTAGTTTGTGTAGTGAGTGTTGTAATTTAGTGTTAACAAAGCACTAAAGGGAAGTGGTGAAGCAGAGACCCTTTCACAGCTTGCCTCCTAGGCGGGCCTGGAGCCGGCCCAGTTGGCACGGCTGCTGGCTGCTCCGCTGGGTCGAGTCCAGACTGGCTTTGAGAGCTTAGGTGTAGTGTTCATCTCGAGGGTACCCTTGAGCAGGAAGCCAGAAGAGTAAGTGGGATCAGAAGACCTTAAGGGCACCAGGGCAGGTGCTGGAAAACAATTTTTAACCCGGTTTTACCAACCTCAGCTCCATGGGGGATGTTCTGTGCATTGTAGGGTTGGCAGTATGGCTGCCTTCTCCCCATCAGATGCCAGGGGCACCCCCTAATAGTTGGAGCATTCCAGAATGTCTGAAGACTGGCAAATGTCTCAAAGCTGGGGGATGGCTATGTAGTGACACACACTTTTAATCCTAGTATTCAGCAGCAGAGGCAGGTGAATCCCTGTGAGATGGAGGCCAGCCTGGTCTACATAGTGAGTTCCAGGACAGCTGGGGCTACATGGAGACCCTGTCTCAAAACAAAACAGTAACCCCAAACAAATGCTTTGCTGAGCATGGTGGTGTACACATTTAATTCCAGCACTTAGGGGGCAGAGGCAGGCAGATCTCTGTGAAATTGAGGCCAGCCTCGTCTAGTTCCAGGTTAGCTGGGGCTACTGGGAGACCTTCTCTCAAACCAAACACATACATACACAGACACACACACATACACCAAAAATAAATAAATAAATAAAACAAAAACCTAGAGATGAGGCATGTTGCTCTCAGTTGAGAACTTCTAGTATGATCTAGTGGTTTTTCTACTCTGGATACATTTTTTTCTTTTAAATATTTTATTATTATTTTAATTTTATATGTGAGAGTGTATTGCCTGCATGTAGGTAAGTACACCCATGTCATGCAATGCCTGAGGAGGTCAGAAGAGGCCATCGGATCCCCTGGGACTAGAGTTACGGACAGTTGTTAGCTGCCATGTGGGTGCTGGACTTCAAACCCGGGTCTTCTGCAAGAACAACCAGTGTTCTTAACTGCTGAGCCGTCTCTCCAGCCCTGGATACATTTTTTAAATCATCTGTAGAACTTTGGGAAACTCTTGGTACCCCACTTCCCTTAAGACCTCTTAAATCCAAATTTTCAATATGGCTTCCTTTGTGTTTTGGTTATTTTTTGTGTTTTTTTTGTTTTTTGAGGCTGGCCTCAAGCTTTCGATCCTTTCGCCTCAGCCCCAAATAGGGAATGTACGCATGTACCACCACACCTGGCTTCCTGGGTGGTTTTAAAGTATAGTGGAGCTTAAAGATACAGATTGGAGATAAATGGTGAGACTGCCAGGGGTGGGTAGGTGTGTGTGTGTGTGTGTGTGTGTGTGTACATGAATGTGAGTGTCTGTGTGTCCATGTGTATGTATATGTATGGAGGCTAGTGCAGAACTTCGGGTATCTTCCTCTATTGCTCTCTACTTTATCACCTTGAGACATTCTGACCCTGAACTAGAAGTTCTCAGTTTTGACTAGACTGGCTGACCAGAAATCTCTCAGGACCCCCTCTCTCTGCCCACCAGTGCTGGCATGCACAACCATATCCAGCTTTTTTATATGGGTGCTGGGGATTTGAGCTCAGGTCCTCGTCCTTGCAGAGCAAAAGCTCTTGCCTACTGAGCCATCTCCTCAGCTCCCCATACGAGGTACCTCAATGGTTTTTTTTTTTTAAGGAAGCCAAATATAAACCAGTACTTCAGGCAGTGTTTGGTTGGAGTTAAGGCCCTGAACTTTGAGAATAGGCCAACCCATGTTCAGACCTCTACCCCACCACTTATTAATTGTATGAACTTAGGCAGATGTTTTTTCTGTCTATTACTATGTAACAAATGGCCCCCAAACTTGGTGATTTAAAGCACTAACTCTGAGGCTAAGGAGTTCCTCAGTGAAAGCCATGGTGGGGAGGGGTGTTCAGAGC